GTGCCCCTGCTTGAGGAGGAGGGTTGGACTAGATAACCCACAGAGGTCCCTACCATTCTGTGTGATTCTGTGATTCTGTGTGATTCTGTGTGATCTGCAGTACGGAGGCAGTGCTAAGAGAGCCGCTGCACTGGGTGAAGCTGAAGGTCCGTCTAACCCAGTGTACTGTCTCTGGCGGTGGCCAGTGGCAGAAGCGTAGTAAGAGAGGAAAAAGGCAGGGCATGGATAGAGTCATCTTCTCTGTGTACCTTTTCCCAGCATCCAGTGGTATCCAGTTTAGGTGATTCCTGAGAGTATGTCTGGACAATAGTTTTAAGGACTATTGATGAATAGCTTCCTTTATTATTACTATTGAAATTGTTTATACTTTTGCTTCTTTTAGCATTCTATGGCATGTTAGCTTCAGTTTACTTGCTGATGCTGAAGGGTTTATTGACACTAAAGGCTGTTCCTGAATAGTTCTCTGTATGGGTACTTTTCGTTTAGAATAAAATTCCAGTTGTTCTGGAATACTTGTTACATTTTAAGCTTATCCCCTATGCAATATCGGATAAACTTTCAAATGTAAGTAGAACTGACCTTTAGGATAAAATTTTTTTCTTTTTCTTTAAAGCTCTCTGATCCATCTGACTTACCGAAGAATGCTTTCAGGATTTTTTCTATGCTTGTAGAGTTCTTATGTACTGAACACATCGATTATGCATTAGAAACAGGCCTTGCTGGTGAGTATAATATTTTCTGAGCATTTCATCTCATTGGCCTTCTTGTGCAGATGATCTTTGCAGGTCCTTGCTGTGCCTTATTGATTGGCCTTGTTCAGAATGTGTTGGTTAAATTATATTTGTTTTGTGTATTTGGGAGTCAGCGTTTAATGTCTTCTGAAGTGTAACTTCCATTTGGGGAACTGATGCCCAGATGGAAATATGCTCCTGTCTTCAGAAACATTTGTATCACAGAAACTGGGACATCAGTACTCCCTACCTCATTAATTGTTCTCTGTGCCATAGCAGGAGAATGTTTTTATAATAAGGCTTAGTGTCTTACATTTTGTAGGACTTCTGTGGTTGTTTGTATACCTGTGCATTTTAAAGAGTGACAGTGAGTAAGAACATTGCTTGTGTTAAAGAAGTTAAAATCTTGACAGTCAGAACCTGTATTTCCGACATCAAAGCATAAATCTCGTCTTCTGAAGAAATATTTAAATTGGTTGTTCTGTTTTTGCTTTTAGAAATTTCTAAAGCAAGCTATTTCTGTGCTTACGGTTAGTACCTGATGCAGCTATGAGACATGTTCTGTATATGGCACCGTGGTAAATTTTCAAAACTCTAAGCCTGTGATTTCAGCATTCATGGAAAAATTCTGCATATTTAAAAAATCATCATGCTCATTATAAGAACTGCGTGTCGTTACAGTCCTAATGAAACCTTCTTTGCTTTAGGCATTCCCTCTTCTGATTCAAAGAATGCAAATCTTTATTTCTTGGATGTTGTCCACCAGGCCAATACTATTTTCCATTTATTTGACAAACAGTTCAATGATCACCTGATGCCATTGATCAGGTACCTTATTTTGATTAACATTTCCTTTTTTTATGGTCATTTTTGGTGAAGAAAGCAATTTTTTCATTCTTCTCTGTTGAGAGGAGTTTATTGCTGGAGTGGTTCAGCTTGTTGTGGGAAGATAAAATGCTGTAATGAGAGGGGGAAGAAGGGAAGTTAAACGGATAGATGAGAACTAATGGGAGAGAGGGAGCTCAAGAGGTATTGATAGGAAGGAGAGAAAAGTTTCTCCTTGGAGGCCTCCCTGCTACATCACAGGCCGGGACTAGGGGCAGTTTTGTGGCTGCGCCTGGGGTTGAGCTGGCAGTATCAGGGCTGCTGAGATTCCTGGGGATACCTCGCAGGCTTTGCAGAGGGAGCAGCCAGCCAGACCTTGGGAGCAACGTGTGAACTGTGCGAAAGCTGCGTGGTGTTGGGAGCCACGGGCTGGACACGCTGGAGGCAGAGCACACTGGTGTGCTGTGAACTGGTGTGCGTGAGGAGCTGGGTGCGCTCGCCAGCCTGCTGCCTGGGGTGTGGGACAGTGCTGCCCATCGGCACTCAGCAAATCCTGCACGGGGTCAGGTGGCCCTTCAGGCTGCGGATTTGTTGTTCTGAAGCTGGCTAACTCCATCTAAACTAGTCCTTTCTGATGGGACGGAAAATCTTCACAAAATCCTGTTAGAAGTAGCATACCCAATGGATAAATTTGTTCTGGTGTTTTAACGCTGTCACACGCCCAACCCTTTATGCCGTTGCAGTTCTTCTCCGAAATTATCTGAATGCCTTCAGAAGAAAAAGGATATCATAGAGCAAATGGAAGTGAAGCTGGATATGGGCATTGATAGGCAAGTAGAGATTTAAGGTTTCTGTTAATCATGAATTCCTGTAAAACTCCTTTGTGATGTATGTTAGCTTTCCTTTTAAGGATGAGTTATTTCTGAACACAAAATTGATATTTTTTTTAAAATATTTTTTTTAATCCATAAGCGTTCATTATTGTGTATAGGAAACTTAGATTTTGTTTGTTTAGAGGGTCATGTTTTCCAGGGCAGATTTCTGACCCATAAATACTTCTGTAAGGACATGAAAGGATTTTTGTTACGTTGAGAGAGAGCAGTAATTCAGTTTTACCTTACTGTCTCAAACTACTTTTTTCTACTTTAAAGGAGGGAGGAATGATGATTGAAATAGGTTAAAGACTTGCAGAATTTCCATTAGGAGCAAAATTTGACAAAAATAGGTTAGATGATTTGCTTGAATCTGTGCAGTGCTATGGATTAGACCTAGTCATAGAAGTCTGTAGACCCGGAATAATTTTGATTCTGACATTGACTTGCTTTGAGGCTGTGACTCACTCATTTAATCTTTTTTTTATTTAATTTCTCCAAATAAAAATGAGAGGATAGCTATAAAAATTGTAAATTAAAATTATAGCTGTTTTGCAACAGAGGAAAATAACAAACTAACAAGCTTAATGTTAGGAAGTGGAGCTGTTGTGCGATGCCCCACTTTGGTCTGGGAAACAAATAGTGTTCCCATGTTTCAAGGTGGCATTACTCAAACTAGAACATGTTACCTAAGCTTTCTGTGCCTGTTTTCTCTCTGCAGTGATGGAAATAAGCCATCACAAGAGTAACAAGGGCTACTTCGGAAATTACTATTGAGGCTGTTGTAAGGATCGGACTGTACTGCAGAGGGATGAGAATAGCACTGTATACGGAAAAAGAGGCATTGCATTTGTGTCCTACTGGGTGCTTTCTTAAGTATTTTCATAGAATTATAGGTTGGAAAAGACCTCGAAGATCAAATCCAACCATCCACCCAACACCACCATTCCTACTGAACTATATCCTGAAGTGCCACATCTACAAGTTTTTTCAGCACTTCCAGGGATGTGGACTCCACCACTGCCCTAGGCAGCCTGGTCCAATGCCTGACCACTCTTTCAGTAAAGAAATTGTTCCTAATATCCGATCTGAACCTCCCCTGATGCAACTTGAGGCCATTGCCTCTCGTCCTATCACTAGTTACCTGGGAGAAGAGACCAACACCCACCTCACTACAGCCTCCTTTCAAGTAGTTGTAGAGAGCAATAACGTCCCCCCTCAGCCTCCTCTTCTCCAGACTGAACAGCCCCAGGTCCCTCAGCCGCTCCTCATCAGAGTTGTTCTCCAGACCCCTCACCAGCCCTGTTGCCCTTCTCTGGACACGCTCCAGCCCCTCAATGTCCTTCTTGGAGTGAGGGGCCCAATGCTGAACACAGCACTCCAGGTGTGGCCTCACCAGTGCTGAGTCCAGGGGCACGATCCCCTCCCTACTCCTGCTGGCCACACCATTCCTGATCCAAGCCAGGATGCCTTTGGCCTTCTTGGCCACCTGGGCACACTGCTGGCTCATGTTCAGCCGGCTGTCGACCAACGCCCTTTCTGCAGAGATGAGGAAGAGATTTGATGTGTTACATGCACTTATGTCTTCTGCAGGTGCGAAAAGGAAGATGGAGGTAGAGGATGTGTAAGTGGCAGTTGAGATTTTAGCTGCTCCTGCTGGAAGTGACCATAGAGGTTTAAACACAAAGTTTGAAATACTTGAACCATTAAGGCCGTAAGCTTAGATCTAGACAGATATATGTCAGCATTAGAGTGGTTTGTAACTGTTCATGTAAAATAATTAATCTCTTAAGAGTGGTAGTAAGACTAAGGAGAGCAGGTACCTGTCAGAAAACGGTACGTTCAAAGGTTTGTGGATGGAGACTTCAAAAACATTTGTGCTTTGGCACGTATAAAAGAGGGATTAGTTTTGAGATGAATGTTACATGCAAAATGTGTTTGTGTGCCTGCTTACATGTTGCTTTGTGGTGCACTGATACTGCAGATACACAAAATTAGTTCAATTGGTTTTCTTTCAGTTTGTATTCTGTAAACAACCTTGTGGGAATATTTATTGAAAATGGAAGTTGAGGAGAATATAAGATATAATTTCTTGAAATTTCTACTGGTACATGGATTGTTGAATGAAGTGCACCTGAAATGCAAGTCTGAGCTATAAGCATAGAAAAGAAGTTTATTCCCTCTTTGGATACATGCATTCTTCTGCCCTTCACCCCAGCTTGAATCCTTCAAGGCCTGTAATGGCTTTGACTGTGTTTTCTTTGGGGAGATTGGAGGGGTGAGGGGGGTGAAGAAAATGGGTATCGGGGGGGAACAGGCCGGGAGAGGTTCTTGGCAGAGGTAGCCACTGAGAGAGGTTTGCAGCCTCTCTTGGCTGCTTGGCTGTCTGACCTTTGGTTTGGACTTCAAGTAAACCAGGGCCTTGACCTTAGATAATGTTCTGAAAAGATAAATCCTGCAAGGGCGAAATGGAGGAGTGGTAGACACACCGGAAGGCTGTGCTGCCATTCAGCATGACCTGGACAGGCTGGAGAGTTGGGCAGAGAGGAACCTGATGAGGTTCAACAAGGGCAAGTGCAGGGTCCTGCACTTGGGGAGGAACAACCCCATGCACCAGTACAGGCTTGGGGTGGACCTGCTGGAGAGCAGCTCTGTGGAGAGGGACCTGGGTGTCCTGGTGGACAACAGGTTGACCATGAGCCAGCAGTGTGCCCTGGCTGCCAAGACGGCCAATGGGATCATGGGGTGCCGAGGGAGGTTCTCCTTCCCCTCTACACTGCCCTGGTGAGGCCTCATCTGGAGTACTGTGTCCAGTTCTGGGCTCCCCAGTTCAAGAAGGATGAAGAGCTACTGGAGAGAGTCCAGCAGAGGGCTACAAGGATGGTGAGGGGACTGGAGCATCTCCCCTACGAGGAGAGGTTGAGGGAACTGGGCTTGTTCAGCCTGAAGGAGAGAAGGCTGCGAGGGGACCTAATAAATGCCTACAAATATCTGCAGGGTGGGTGTCAGGAGGATGGGGCCAAGCTCTTTTCAGTGGTGCCCAGTGACAGGACAAGGGGCAATGGGCACAAACTGAGGCACAGGAAGTTCCGTCTGAACATGAGGAGGAACTTCTTCCCTCTGAGGGTGACGGAGCACTGGAACAGGCTGCCCAGGGAGGTTGTGGAGTCTCCTTCTCTGGAGATATTCAAGACCGGCCTGGACAAGGTCCTGTGCAGCCTGCTGTAGGTGACCCTGCTTTGGCAGGAGGGTTGGACTAGATGACCCACAGAGGTCCCTTCCAACCCCTCCCATTCTGTGATTCTGTGAAATGACACTGTAAAACTCTGTTAGATTTCTGAGAACAAAAGAAATACCAAACTCTGGCAAAGGAAGAGATTTCCCCCCCTGCATTTTCCAAGTGCTTTCTGATGCTTGCTTCCGAGTAATACGCAATGGGATCTAATTCTACTAAACTCTTTGGAATGCTTGCTTTGGCTTTCAGATTCCCTCTGTATTGAAGTATGCTATCCAGTTTCTCTGCAGAGCTGGATTTGAATGGGTTTCCTTACAATTAATGTGTTCCCTTTAAAACCAGCTGCCCAGCATGCTGTGTGCTGTGCTCCAATATACTGAACTTGGAGGGAAGAGTATTTTTAGGGTGGTTGAGTGTGGGGTTGTTGGCCGATTCTCTTTTTTATAACTGCTTACATAAAAACAAGCTTATCTTCTCTAGACAATTGTATGGCAACCTCAGAAGAGTGCGTATGTGTGTGTGCATGTCTGTTAAATGAAGTATTTCCTTTGGTATGTCCTAGCACCACTTGCTTCTTATAATAAATGTTGGCTTTGAGTGTATCTTCTGTAGATTACTCAAATGTTAGATAGTAGGGTTTTTTCCTCATTGCTTTATGCTGCTGACTATTGTATAGAATCATATTAGTGTACATAAATATAAAAATCAAGGAAACTAAAATGTTCCCGTCAAAACCTGATCTGTATTTGTAACTTTAAAGGACACTGAACTGTATGATTGGACAGATGAAGCACATCTTGGCTGCAGAGCAAAGGAAGACAGATTTTAAACCAGAAGATGAGAACAATGTTTTGATTCAATATACTAATGTAAGTAAACGAAGTCTCAGCTCATCAGTATAGCTTCAAATGCTTGTGAGTGTTAGCAGCTACAAGCTGTTCCTTAGCAAACACACATGAGGCAACATGTGCATTTGGTCAATTTGCTTAGCTATTCTATTTTGAACTAAGCACCTCCAAACTCTGTTGTGGGCTGTTTTCTCAAGCTGAAAAGGCACATTAGCAGTTTTATATCTAGAGATAAAGATACAAATCAGTAGGTACTGGACAAATTGTCATATTCTTTCCTCTCCCAAGAGGCCCAGATTCGAACAAGGTTTTTAGCTGATAATTAGCTTACGCTATCAGTTTTGGAAAATCAGTTATCAGGTACTGTCTAGTGGCTGGGCACTTTTCCTGCTTAGAATGGCAGGAGCATGACAAAGCGTCATGGGTACGGCGAGAACATTCTTTGCTGAAGAACGTTGTTTCTACCACCGAATCTGTCTGAATCCCAGCCTGTGGGCTGCTGAGAAGCCGTAGTGCAGAGTTACATTAGGCTCTTGTTAGGGAGCAATGCAGAGAGGAGTACAGAACAAACTGCGGTCAATGGGAAGAAGCGAGAGCATTGCCTGAAGGCCTGCAGCCAGGTGGGGATGGGAGAAGTGGAGCAGGAGGACATAGGGTCTGGTACTATGTGGGAAGGGTGAAGATGCCTGCATGGCTGTTAGTTTGGGTTTATAATTGCAGCTGGCGAGGTTTTTAATCACTTCCTCCCCCACCCATCCATTTAATTTGGGCTTCTGATTCAAACAAGGATCAAACTGAACTGATATGAACTAGAACTGAATTGAATATTGTCTTGCATCTATCCTTCTACTTGAATTTTTGCATCTTTATATGGCAAATAAAAAAAGGTTGGAAAATTATTAATTGGAAAATTACTAATTTCAATGATGTGTTGTGGGAATTTTAAAGATTTAGTGACTGACGTTCAGCTTATGATGTGGAAGCCACTTTGAGAAGAATGAATTTCTAGAAAGTAACTTACCTAATTATTTTTTTTTATTATTTTTTTCTTTAGGCTTGTGTTAAAGTCTGTGGCTATGTTAGAAAGCAGGTAGAAAAGATTAGAAATTCTATGGATGGTAAGAATGTGGACACCGTTTTGATGGAGTTTGGAGTTCGTTTTCATCGGCTTATCTATGAACACCTACAGCAATATTCCTACAGTTGCATGGGAGGCATGTTGGCTATTTGCGATGTGGCTGAATATAGGAAGTGTGCCAAAGACTTCAAGGTAAGCATGTACAGGTTGGTGACGTACAGCCATGTCAAAATTTTAAGGACTCTATTTTTAATCAGACCTTTTTTTTTTTGATAAAAATAGTTTGCTTCAGTTTGAACATCACCATTTTGTATATTGGTGTTATATGTTCTGTTGTTATACCAGCAGTTCTTTATCATGTCCGAAAGAGCAGTTTCCTGATACCACTTATTGCTTGCAGGCTGTGTGTGTATATTGAAGAAGTGTTGAGTTTGCATTATTATGAGGTCTATGTGTAACTTGGCATGCATGCATGTGGCCATATATATATTTATGCACACATGAAGAGGGAATGATGGATGTAAATCATCTGTAGGGAGGAAGTATTTTGAGAATCTGGGTGGACATTGTGTCATAAGAGTTCAAGCAACTCTTAATATCTGTCTTTCTCTGTTTTTCTCTTAACCACAGATCGCTCTGGTGTTACAACTCTTTGATACCTTGCATGCACTTTGCAATCTTCTGGTTGTAGCCCCGGATAATTTAAAGCAAGTTTGCTCAGGAGAACAACTTGCTAATCTGGACAAGAACATCCTTCACTCCTTTGTTCAGCTGCGTGTTGATTATAGGTCTGCTCGTCTTGCTCGTCACTTCAGCTGAGAGCATGGAAAGAAATATTGTACCTTTGGCCAGGCCTCAGTTGTAGAAAGCACAGGGAATGATGTCTTATGAAACCACGGTTGTAACTTTTGTGGGATAATGACTGTTCAGAATGAAGCAGCAGCCATACTTAAACATGACTATGTAGAGGGTGAGCAGGTAAAAATCTGAATGAGATTTCATGTAAGCTAAAGTTCCCCCAGTGAAGAATTTTGCAACTCTACATGCTACTGACTTTTTTTTTTGTTGGAAACATGTCGGTATAGGAAAGCAAGTGGTGCATTGAAAGTATTTTAGTCTTCAATATTGAATTATCAGATACCATTTGTTAGACTTGAACTACACAGCATAGCGTAGGTAATGGATTACATAGACTAGACCACTGTAAAAATGTTCTTCATCAATTTTAATGGCTTAGACTTCAGCACAGCTAATCATAATCAAATTATCTTTGATTGGTGTTTCTAAGTAATTTCTTTCATTTAAAATGTTATCCCGCACAATGTAATTTCTTGCTCTAATTAATTAGCTTGGAGTTTCTTTGAGATGTAGGAGTAAAAGCAACGCTATCCCAGAAGGATGTAATTTATTCATTGTGTAGCATTCTGAACAGAACTGAAGTGGTGAAAAGTTTTGGGGGTTTTTTTTGGTTCTTTGGCTTTGTTTTTTTGCACCTAGTAGTCGAGGGCCCACTGGAATGTATTGGCATTGTATGATCTGACATTCTTGTCTCTGTTTGATACTGGCACACTGAATTTTATATATGCTCCTAAAGTAAATGCAGCTGCCTCGTCTAAGGCATTCTTATTATGAGGTGAAGGTGCCCATTGCTGAGTTAATATAAGAAAACTTTCTCCTGTCTGTTTTTTTGTATGTAAATAAATTCAGATTGTAACGAAGTTAAAGGACAAAATGTGGGCCAGTTGTTCATATGTGGGAAGAATGGACAGCAGCTCTTGCAAAAAACAAGAGTTGAAAATTCCTGTGCTGAAGATAATTGATCCTCAGTGCCTGAGCAATATAAAATGTTGAAGTGTGCAGAAGCTTCTCCTCCACTGATCATAATTTTATTATTGGAGACAGGCTACTTTTGTGTCCATTATGCTCCAGCATTTATTCAAGGTGTTTCTGAGATGGACCCATAGTGTGCATATAGTGAATTGAAGCAACACTGGTGTTTGAAACATCTGGGGTAGATTTTCCACAAGCAGTTGAAAATTGTTGTAAATAGACCTTTGTTCAGAGCGAGCTCTTGTGGAAAACAGATTGGAACTGCTGTGGCCTGTGTCTTCGATCTGACTCACATAGTCTCTGAACAAATCATCTGTAACACTTTATTTCTACAGTGGACTCAGCGTAAGTTATGGAAACTTCTTTCCCCTCTTCAGAGCAGCATTTCGATGCATTTACTTTGAGTCGGACAAATGAAATTATTTTCCTCTTTTGTTAATGACTTCCCAGGTGTAGTCAATATTGACAGGCTTGTGTGGACATTCTCTTGGTTAGTTGAGGTTCTTCTGCTTCATTTTGTATTTGCAGAGCATTAAATCAGTAAACAAGAGAATGGATGCCAGACTGTCTCAAAGTATTCGCCGAGACTGGCTGCTTTGCTGAGCTGCATAGCTCTGTTCCTTGGCCATGGCAAAGCCACAAAGAGCTTTGGACACTGGAGGAGGCACATGTTTGTACTGCTGCCATTTTTTTTTTTATTTTTTTTTTTTTTTCCAAAAGCTCTGATGTGAATTCAGATGATACCTCTGTTACCTCCGTAACTGAAAGCCAACAATTTTAAGGCTGTGGTTTTATTAACCAATACAAAACCTTTCTACAAAAAAGTGTCAATTTGTTAACACTTCAGAACAGTGAACATCGTCTGATGATTGCAGATCACAGAAGTGCTTCAGAATTTGTTGTATGATTGAATTATTTTAAGGTTGTATGAAATGTATTTACCATATTTCTTGCTTTATTAGCTGTGTTTTCCGTGCATATGCTCAGTGCAATATTTTCATTATGCCTGTTAACAGAAGGCAGCAAAAAGTAGGTGAATACTTAGATATGTAAACTCTTACTCCATTAAAAAATTCCCTCCAGACACTTTTTTCATTTCATTTCCATGTTCTTCAAATATCTTTATACTCAATTGTATAAGCCCTTCTATTTAAAAAAAAAAATAAAATAAAAGCAGTTTTACTGACCAAATTTATCACTGGTGTGATCATTCCCTTTTCCTTTCCTTTAAAAAATCTCCCCATGCACACACTGAAAGAGTTTCTATTCCTAGAGAAGACTACGTTGTTGGTAAGTTTACAGTATGAATCGGATTGGGATGGGGCGGGGAACTATAATTTTCACACATTTTTAAGTTTGGAGCTCTTACAGCATGTAACTTGGGAAAATATTTCCAGTGGCTTCTGAGTACAAGAAAGTAGTATCCAAAATACAAATACACCTTCTAACGTTCATGTAATGAGTTAAAGTATTGCCTTTCTGATGCTCACTCCTAGAACGCAGGCATTTAACAGGCTGGCAGCCAAATGAATGCCTGAGAGGAGGTGTGTATATCTGCGTGTAATTATGCTGTCTACGACTGGTGAAAATGGCTTTACAGTAAACTGTTGTAGGCTGGAAAATCAGCTGTGTTTTTCCAAGTCCTATAATTTATTAACATGATTTGGTATTGTATTGTGTTTGCGTATGCACAGAGGGCGGGAGGGAGTTCGTGTTCTGTAAGAACACTTCTCAACACCAAAATATAAAAAATTGGGAAATGGAAGTGCTTGGAAGAAGATCTAGATATTTAGAAATAGAGGGTAAGATGTGAAGGAGATATGAACCAGAAGGATGTGGAGAACAAGCAGTTTTAAATGAAGCAGCATAGCAGGTGGAAGGAGGAGGTTAGACTGTGATTAACAGAAACCTGGCATACACATCAACCTAGGAGAATAAGCAGGACTGGAATTAAAATCTCTTCACAGCTACGTCCCACCCTGAAATGAAGTGAGCCTCTAGAGGAGGGGGCTGGCTAAAATACTTTGCCTTGGAGCTGGGAGCAGCTGTGAAGGATGGGTGGTGACGCTGTGGATGTGAGCTGTGCTTACTTCCACTGTGAGGAGTGGAGATGGATCAGCAATATGCAGTCTGACTGAAGGGGAAGGAGAACGGCATGAGCTGAGCTTCCAGTTTTCCTGTGAAGACTACAGTGATCTGGATGGCAAGTGACTGCTCGATTTGAGAATGGCATGGTACTGACAGGTGGCAGATTTGGTTGATCTTGTAATCAGGAAGAACTCGCCCCCACCTCCTTTTATTTTTCACAAAGGTATTTTAAATCACTGGTTGCTTAGGTGTTTAGCTACCACAGATAAATCACAATTTTGGTTGCCGAAGGAGCAATCCTCTGCCATATAGCTGGGGTGTTGTGAACGAGTGTTGTCTGAACTGATTACTCCATTTCTGTAGGAAATGTTGCAAATACGTGGCAAAAATGGTGCATCTTAGGAAGTGCCCTGAAGAGGGCAAGGCTCGTAGGATTCTTTGAGGGGTTGGGTACACGCTAGCCTGTTCTTCAGAAGCCCATAGCTCAAGGTTTCTCAGTCCTAATGTACTTGGTTTTAGGTGTCACGACAAATTCCAAAACAAAGGGTGCTCTTTGGATTAAGTGTCCATGGCAGTAACTCTCTTATTTTGGATTAGCACTTGAGTTGAACCGGTCGTGGATAGGGAAACCAGGCTGAAGTGATTTTTTTTCCTATACAAAGGAAACAGATAGCTTAATCGTTGTTCATCTAATTTTAGGTGCAGGTAGCAGTTCTTCTCATTTGCATTCCTTACCCCAGAAGCAGTAGGGAGGATAAGCCAGCTGTCAGCACCAAAAGCTACTCTGCTAGAGGGCAACAGAAAGGTAGGAGCACCTTTCCTGTCCTTATGTTCTGCTGGATATTGTCTTCTAGGAATTCTTTCCACCACCACCTCTGTGCTAGTTGCAAGTGGAGACAGATTTCTGTTTTGCTATCTAGACGGGAGTATTTTCTCTCTGGACATCAAGGCTGGCACGTTGTCTGCTTTTCCTTTCCTAGTGTTTCTGCACCTGTTTTAAGGAAGGGAGGGAGCCAGATCTCCTGCCCAGTCATGTTCACTGCTTTGCTTGTCTTTTTTCCTCTGTTCTATTTTCTTTTGGTGGTAGGAGGTTTCTATGCTGTGTCTTCTGCTTATCTTAGAGTGGGGAAGCAGCTGTGTTTGCCCGTCGTCTTTTTCTCTTGTATGGGCCACTGCTTACTCTGTGTCAATACAGCGCTTAGTTTACGTGGAAACTTTGGCTTCTACTTTTATTCTGTTAGCCTTACGTCCCTGTGCCCTGTTTTCCTTTCCAGATCTCGAGATTGTACTATCCCTTCCCCTCTGTTACCACACTACGAGAGAGAGAAACCTTTAACTTTGCAGCATGGCTTCTAGGAGACTTTTACTTACTATATAGTGGTTCTTCATCCACATGTAGCCTGGTAGGAGGAGGAGTTAAGCTCCCTTCCACTTTATTCCTCTATCCTCCCCATATTCCGTCATCTCTGCAGGTCTCTGTTTCCTCATGCTCTCTCCTGACCTGGCTGTGCAGTGCATTATATTGAAACTTCATGTAAGGGACAAGCCATGGGGGTAAAAGTGTCAGGTACCTCAGTTTCAGCGTCCATTAGGTAACGTGCCAGGAAAGTAACATGAAATGTGAAGTTGAGCTATCTCTGAATAATAGCTTTGAGAACAGCTTAATAAACCAAAGTGAATTGGTTTGATACTTGAGGGTCAAGATATCTTCAAAGTTTATTTGTGATTTATTGATTTGTATTTGAAGTTCATCCTGATATGGGATGAAAATAAATTTGAGACTTCCTTATAGCAGTCCCAAATCCTGCTCATCTGCACTGCTGCTTCCCCTCTGTGAAAAAAGCAGACCTTGGAGCTGATGCTCTGACGCTGGCTGAGCCGCGGGCTGTGGCCGTTCCTACCCTTGCCGTGATGAAGCCTGTCCTGGTCCCAGACGGGCTGTCAGGGGTCAGCACGCACATTCTCTGCCTGCCCTTGCCCTTCCCTGGTTGAATAGTTTCAGCATTGAGTAGCATGAGGCTTTTGTGTCACCTTTGTGCTACAGAAGAGATCTTTGCTTGTTCTGCATAGGGTGCCCGAAAGGGTCCAGTAGCTCCAAACTAGTTTGTCATCCTCGGAGGGTCGGAATTGTCCCACCCCAGTCATGTAATGTTGGAGCAGAGCCTGTGTGACTGTCTCATGAGACACTTAGCTCTAAGTGCTGCCTTGTTCAGTTAATATTCCAATATACAATATTGTTTGAAAGTGAGCGTTTTTAAATTTTTCTTGCAGTGTTAAAGTTTCTCTCTCCTCTTTCACTAAAACCCAAAATTGTCCATAAGGCTGCTGGAGCCATAGCATAGAGAAACAAATGCTGGTTTAGGAAACGAACATCACAGCAGCAGTGGCTGTTGCTGAAAAGCTTCCTTGTGGTGTGTTTTGTTTATCTCACACCTGGATTAAGCAAGGGTAAAGGAGAGAATGGACTAAGAGGTGTCGGTCCTTTTCATTCCTTCCCTTTGTGTGTACAATGTGGGTCTGTAAGTTTTTGGGGCTGTCTCTGCTCCCCACCTCTTGGTCGGCTGGCTGTTTGCACCACAGTCTTTCTTTGCAACGTATTCACCTTAACCTCACCTCATCTGTTCCCCGGGCTGCCCTTGTGCTTCTCAGCCCTGTCCCAGCTTCACTTCTAGCCAAGGATACGTCCTGGCACAAACGAGCCCTTACAGCATCTTGGTTGTATGTCTGCTTTTCCCATTTTGATCATCAGTCTGATGACGACAGGAGCTGTTGTTCTACCAAGTGTCCGGCCTCAACAAGGCCACCTCTTTGCTTGAAGAGAAAGGTGAGACTGTGGAGAG